CCCGGAGCCGCCGGGCGCCATTTATCACGGCTCCTTCCACCACAGCAACGTTCAGCTCCCGCTCCGGATGAACGGGGCAGGGGTGCGTGCGTGCCGCTTCGTTTTTAACCCCCGCGACAAAGAACGTGTTCCGCCACAAAGACTGAAAGGTTGCCTCCGCCACAAAACCACTGGGAGCTGGGTTTTTGTCCCCGAAGCACTGCGCCGCTGTTACTACGATTTATTGGGTCTCGCTCTGTCCGGAAGCGCTGCTCGGGTAGGAGGGCGCCCGTCCCTTCCCAAGCCGGCGCCCGTTGCGCACGTGCTGACGTGTGAGTCTGACCCGGCCTCCCCAGCGGGCGCTCGCGAGTCCTGAACAACCCCTGGGGTGAGGAGCCCCAGGCCCTGGGCCTCAAAGCAGTTTGTGCCGGAGCAGGAGAGGGCTGCCGCTCGAAAGAGGAGTGACGGCCGTGGCCTCGGTCCAGAAGCAGGCAGGAATACGAAAGAGCTCGTCTGCCAGTGGCCCGTAGCCCACCCGAGGGTTGTGCCCCTGCCCCTTGTCTGACCCACACGTGGGGTTTCTTGCCTAATTTTGCCTGCTTGGCGAGGGGAATTTGGTCAGGTAGAGGGTTAAGACAGGCTGCTCAGGGGATCTCTGGTGCACAAAATGAAATGAGCCCCATCCGCTGCCCCAGCGCCTTCCTTTTGGTAGCCGTATCCTCCCCGCGGAAGCTTTTGCACTTGCAGGCGCAGAAGCTGGGTGCTGGAGAAGGCCATCCTGCTGGGCCTCAAAGAAGCGACAGACCCATTCCCAGAAGCCTCTGAAGGTTTCTCCTGCCAGGGCTCCCCCAAGCCTTGCGCTCAGCCTCCGACAGCCAGCTGGAGCTGCCTTGCCGGCCCCAGCGGCCGCGCGTGGAGTTTGGGTGGGTGTACGATGTGTGGCTGTGCAACACGAACGCAGTTTCAGCTGCTCCCAGATTTCTTTCCTGCCATGGTATTTGACGTGGCACTGCAGCTCTCTTCAGTGTAGCCAGGTCAAAATCCCACCCATCCCCAGCTTGGGAGGTTTCTGCAGCACAGCCATGGCTGCAAGGGCTGAGTGTTACGGTGGAGGTGACGAATGCTATGTCTTGCTTACAGAATCATCCCTAATACATAAAATGACCGAGTAGAGTGAGTGCCTTTCTTTCCTTCTTTCGTTTCCAGTGAAATGCAGTGAGCTGCAAACAATCAAAACCGAACTAACACAGATCAAATCCAACATTGATGCTCTTCTGGGTAGATTGGAGCAGATTGCTGAAGAACAGAAATTGTCCACAGGTCGGTTGGCTGCATATGAAAGCTTCAGGGCCAGCCCTGGGAAAGGGCAAAGAGGTCAGGTGCACAGAAGTGCACTTCAGAGCTTGTCGTTTAGGCAGGCAGGCCGGTCTCAAAGGCTTTGTGGCTTGCAACATCCTCAGGGCTCGGACTTTGAAGTATCCACACCACCTTCTACTGGGGAACCACCGCAGACACAGTATGAGATGTTTCTGTAGCACCAAAAAAGATAAAGTACCTCACTAAGAAACATGAAGATACAAGTCCTTGCCCTGATGAGTTTAAAATCTGTAATTCTGCTCAACAGCAGATTCTCAGATACAAGCCCTCAGTCATTTTTTGGGGAGGAGGGAGAAGGAGGCTGCCTCTTTGTAAGGGAATTTCATTCTTTTCCTGAAATGGAAATTCAAAGCCGAAAACTTTTCTGGGTTTTCTACATCAGCAGTGGATCACATTTCAGTGAACACACAATTCATTTTCTGTCAATGTTGGGATTTAAGCAGAAGGGGAAAATGGACTACAAATATTAGATTAACTAGAAACATCACTGCAAAAAAAGTGAAAAATCTAGATTCTGAAAACATCTGTGTTGCCAGGTACATAGGCTGCCGAAATTGCATACTGTATTCCCCTCCCCAAATAATGGAAATAGGTTTAAAATCATGATATATTTTTTTAATTTGGTAATATAGTTTGCATTTCTTTCGTTTCTCTGGTTTGGGTCACAGCTGCCTCCCATACTCACTCCAGAGGGTTGGCAGAATGAAGGGTTCTGATTGGCCCTCTCCAGTATTTCCTTCAGTCAGCTCCCTCAAAATCAACATTTTAAGAAAAACAACTAGATCCATTATAACAACTCCTGAATGCAGAGGCCCACTGGATTAGTCTCATCAGAGCTCAGGCACTCCCCCCACCACCCTCTGATCCTGGTGTCTTGGCTCTTGGTCTCGCAGAGGTACGGAAGAAGGCCGATGGAAGCAAAAGTGAGATCTCCCAGGAAGACACAGCATCAGAGGCAGAGATCAACACAGAGGAGCCGCTGAATGGGGATGAGGGTGAGGAAGAGGGTCTCACACGGGATGAGTGTGAAGATGAACTGGTAAGAGGGTTTGGATAATACATCCCTCCAGCCAAGGGAATTTAATAGCGAACGACAATTTTACTGGAACTTATTAAATCCCCAGGAAAATACAGTTTTTCCTTCTTAAATAATTGTATTTAATCCTATGATTGTTCACAGCTTGTTCTTCTAAACTCTTCTGCTTGCAAAAGCTTTGACTTAGTGAACGTACATGGAGATGCTGAAGAAACATGGTTGGCTCTTGAAGTTCAGACCACATTTATCCCTGATTTCACAACAATTAATCAATGTTTAAAACAAGTTGCTTCGCTCCAGAGTGATTCTCAGATAGATTAAAACATATAGCAAAGACATGCCGTATTATATTGACTGCACTTCCCTAACAGCTTGTATTTACAATGACCTTTTCTTGTATTTACAATGACCTTTTTTCTGGATGGACACCAAATTGCATAAATCTAGTTACAGTTTGAGTAGGCAGCTACTGCTGTGCATGAAGCTGTTTATCTTTTCTGAGGACAGCAATTGCCTGAGCCTGATCAACCTGATTTCATATCCGTTGGCTTTAGTCTTAGTAAGGCTGTTTTCCTAGGCAGGGACTGCAAGCAGGCCCAGGGAGCCCAGCAGGCAACTTCTGAGCCTAAAATTAAGCTTCAGCTTATGTAGTTTACAGGATGAGAAGGCTGTGTTTGCTTACTGTGGTGATACAGGTCCTATATTACTATTGGTAGCATTGTCATTTCTCCAAAATTAAGGTTCCTTGGAGAACAGGATCAGCTCCAGACCCAGGCAAAGTGGGCAGCTGCAAAGGGCAATAAGGTGCTGGGGTGGAGAGCTAGCCCTGTGCTGCTGCGTGCTTTGCCAGGCCTCAGCCCTGGCAAGTCAGGCTAGTTGGTGCTGCTCTCCCTTGGGGGCCCAGGGCATCTTGGTCGGGACAGATGAGGGATTTGAACAGAGTTTTTCAGCTGTTTCAGCTTCTGGGGCCTAGTAGTTGAAACCCGTGACCCCTGCTGAATCTAAAGAGAGATGATTAAGAGAAGACATCGTAACAGACCACTATAAAGAAGAAAGGCAAAAGCTGGCCTTCATCTCAGTGTTGATAAGGACAAGGAAGCCCAGGTTTAAATTACATCAAGGGAAACAGATGGTAGAAGTTAGGGGGAAAACTTGCTGATGCTAATGATGATAAAGCTCTATGCAGACTGTCAACAGAAAACGTCGACTCCTCCAGCACTGGTGGGATATGAAAGCAGAATGGACAGACATCTGCTGGGAGTGATTTAGGATGAGCTGGTCCTCTTTAGGAGTAGGAAATGAACAAGATGACTATTTCAGGTCCCTACAGTCTCTATTTTCTGTAATTCTGTAGTCTTAAAGTGGCAATGAGATCAAAAACCTTTTGCAGCCAGCCTCAGACAGGCTCAGCTGTGCTCAGCATGGGGTTTAACGTATGCAGTTCATCCGCAAGGGTATTTTCTTAAAACGCTGCAAGGCAAATCACGAAAGCCATCCTTTATACTTAGATCCTGACCCTGCAGCACTGAACAACTCGTAAGTGTTTCCAGTTCTTGGGAAGTATCTCCTTCATCCCATGTCTCTTTGACCTACACACATCAGCATAGCCTGCACCTCCTGCTGTCCGTGGACACTGTGTCCACTTTTGTCACCAAAAAGTGACAAGTGCAGAGAATGGTGCACCACTTTTTGTGCACCATTCTCTGCACTTGCTCTGAGGGGCAGTGGGAAAGCCTTGGTTCATGCAAGGCAGGAATCAGATCTTCCTACACGTAGGCAGTACCCAGCACAGGGACGCTTCCCTGCAGTGGTTCTCTTCCCCGTGGTAGTGTGGCTTAGTGGGACTGGGATCCAGGCCCCAACGACATCCTTTACAAGAGAATTGTAGGATGCCTCCTGGGGGAGCAGTTGGCCTGAGCATCCCTGTTCATACGGGAGCTTCACTGTATCAAAATGCATGTGACAATACTATGGCAAAGCAGAGTGGTGCAGGCTACATCAATAACACAGAGGTAAAGTATATAGAGATCTTTTGCAGTGGTATTAGTCCCACCTGGGTGGAGAGGAACCTTTCCGCATCCAAAGGAATCAGACACACAAGTTTGCACTGAAGGCCAACGGGAGCTGTGCATATACTTCCTTTCAGCTCCACTTCCAGGCTGAAGTTGGCTGCCCTGGTTCTGTGTGCAAATCTGTTTGATCGTGGTGAGGGTACCCAACGTTGGGTAGGAGCAGGGGAGGCAAGTCCAAAATATATGCTCCAGCTCACAAATGCTGGAAGGGCCCCCCTCCCAGAATGAGTCTATGCCCTTCTCAGAGAGGGTGGGCAGGACAGGAGCTCTGCAGCAGCTGCAGAGTCCAAAGATCACAGAACTGTAAAATACTTTAGGTTGGAAGGGCTTTCTGGAGGTCTCTAAACCAACCACCTGCTCCAAGCAGGGCCAGTCAGATCAGGTGCCTCAAGGCCTTGTTTTGAATATCTCCAAGGGTGTAAGTCCCACATCCTTTCTGCATCCCTGGTTCAGTGTTAAGACTATGTGCATGATAAAAACGTTTTCCTTAAATCAGAATTTCCCTTGTTCCAACTTGTGCCTGTTGCATCTCATCTTGTCCCTGGATGAGACCTCTAAAAAAACCTCTTGCCTCTAAACCCTCCCGTCAGGTAGCTGTGGACAGTGGTAAGATCCCTTTTTACCTTCTCTTCTTCAGACTGCACTAATCCAACTCTCAGCTTCTTTCTTTGTATGTCCCATGCTTCAGCCCCTCAACCGCTTTGGTGGCCTCCACTGGACTTGCTCCACTATTTCAATGTCTTTCTGGTCCTGGGGAGCCTCACACTGGACCAAGCACTCCAGATGGGCTCTCTCAAATTCCAAATAGAGAGGAAGGATCACTTCCCTCAACCTGCTAGCTGATAGAGCCCAGGAGGTGGTCAGCTGCCTTTCCTGCAAGGGCATACCACTGACTCCTGCTCAGCTTCTTTTTCACTAGCATCTCCAGGTCTTTTTTTGAAAAGTAGCTTTCTAGCCCCTCATCCCCAGTGTGTCCTGCTGCATGAGGTCATTCCTACTGCAGCAGAACATCAGGTAGATAATACTTCACACAGATTCTGTCACAGGCTCAGGGGTCCGGGAGGCCAGAAGGCAGATCTGACTGGTGAAAAGCAAGGCAAAAAAAAAAACATTGAATATTTTGGCCTTTTCCATGTCCTTTGTCACTAGGTTCCTGCCCCACTGAGCAGTGGGCCTACATTTCCCTTATCCTTCCTTTTGCTGCCAGTGTACCTACAGAAGCCCTTCTTGTTGCCCTTCACATCCCTCACTAGTTCCAACTCCAGCTGAGCTTTGGCTTTCCTAACTCCATCACTGCACACTGGCGTGGTGGCTCTACGTTCCTCTTGGTTAGCCCAGACCTGCTTCCACCTTCTGGGTACTGCCTTTTTGTGTAGGAAAAAGCTTGTCTGGGAGCTTGCTGCTCATCCATGCTGTTCATCCATGCTGGCCTCCTGCCATGTCTGCTCGACTTTCTCCACATCAGAATGGGCCATCCCTGTGTTTGAGGCAGGTATCCTTGAAGATCGCCCAGCTGCCCAGGGCTCCTTTGCTAACCAGGGCAGTCTCCCTTGGGATCCTGCCAAACAGATCCCTGAACAAACTGAAATCTGCTCTCTTGAAGTCCAGGGTTTTGATTCTGCTATTTGTCTTGCTCACTTCTCTCAGAATATTCAACTTCACAGTCTCACAGTCACTGCAGCCAATACTTCTCTCAGCCTTCACATCTTCAGCCAGTTCTGCCTTGTTTATCGGAAACAGGTCCAGAAGAGCATTTCCCCTAATCAGCTTGTCAGCCAGCTTTGTCAAGAAATCGTCCATGATGCTCTCCAGAAACCTTCTGGATTGCTTGCACCCAGCCCTATTGCCCTTCGAGCAGATACGAGGATGGTTGGAATCCCCTATGAGCAGCAGGGTCTGTGGTCATGAAGCTTCCTCCAGTTGCCCAAAGAAGGTTTCATACACTTATGAGGCGGTCTGTAGCAGATGCCCGCTATGCTGTTACCCCTGTTAGTCTGTCCTCTGGTCCTTACCGTCAAGCTCTCAACTCATCGCCTGTTCCAAGGCAAAGCTGTGTGCATTTGAGCTATTCGTTTGCATAGAGCACAACGCCACCTCCTCACCTTCCCTTCTGGCTTTCCTGAAGAGCCTGTTCCCAGGGCACTATACCTGTTTTGTAACTGCAGCTCTGCAGGCAGAGCAGGAGCCTTTGTTCAGTTGCCAGAAGTCCGAAGCCTCCAGACTTCCCCATCTTGGTAGTCTCCGTTCACAGCTCCTTTAAGCGTAGTCTCTAGCTATCCCCCCTTCCTCGCATTGCCATACTGAAGCTTTTGGCTCTGCAGGATCTCCACACAGACCCTTTTGATCTCCTTGATTGTACAGATCCACCTGCCTCCCCCACAGCTCCCTCCCCAGCCTGAATAGATACCTGTCCGAACGGATGACTGATGGAGGTTGGCTGAGATGCAGTGGAAGCAGCAGGAAGAGGGACAGCTGAATTCCTTGTGCCTAATTCCCTGAATCTTCTCCCACAAGGAATCTGGCCCACAGTTATGTCAGGTAGACCAGAGGTGCTCCAGTGAGTCGGGGTTAAAATCCTCCACCTGGTTTAAGCAGGCAAAGAAGAAGAGCAGATTCAGAACTGAAACCAGAATGGGGCCCCCATGCCTTATGAAGCAGCCTGTTGCTAGCAAGGTTTGGACTGGGCTCCCTTGCCTTTCCTTCTAGATTAGCTAGTATCACCTGCAGAGGTCCCTGGCTCCTTTTCCACCTGTAAAACATTCATCACAAAATTTGGCCTCTGCAGGAAATAACAAGTATCACTGCTGAGTATCTAATTCTTTTAATGATACTGTACTGCAGAATGGCTCCCTGAGGAGGACTTTCACATGCCTTATTTTCAAAAGCAGTCTTATATGGGGAGTGATTCAACACACAGCACTGCCATTGTGGCCTTTGGCATGGTGAATATTATGAGTGTTACCATTTTAGATGATGATCTTTGCTGCAAAATGGGACCAGCTTCTCTGTTCAATAGGAGTGCCATTGCACAATTTGCACAATTTGCCAGCATAGGCCAACTTCATCACTGGGCAAGTCTAATAAACACTGGCATGCCTGTTCTCTGGTGTGGGCTCTTCCCAGGCCCTGAATAAACATCTCAGAGTGCTAAAACAAGGCAGCAGCTGTGCATATGCATTAGTAACATCCACTTTAAATTCATGCTGTGGCTATCTACTGAGTAGGAGCTTCTCGTCTGACTTGGCCTTGTAAAAATGAGGCATGCAGTGTAAGCATTCAAAGACGCGAGCTCAGCAACCACTGGTTGCCACAGGTTCGAGACCTTCCCTGGGAACATGCTGTTCAGCCACTGGAGGTGCTGACTCTACATTAGCCCAGATCACACACGTGACTTTACACTGCTAGGGTGCAGTGGGCTCACTTTCATCATGGTCCCTTTGAAGTTTAGCAGGAGCCAGACCTCAAAATACAGCAGGGAATGACACTTCCCAGAATCTCTTCTAGGCAGAGCGCTGCTAGAATAAGGACCTAGAGCAAACTTCTGCTTTTGTTCTGGGACTTATTTCTGCCAGAAACCACAGCCACTGCACACAGTATCCACATCAGGTGTGTTTTGTAGTTGCTCCCATGCTGCCAAGCAGCCCAACACTGTTCCCACTGTGAGAGCTCTCCCGCAAGCCGTGGTACAAGCTGATCACTGTATGTGACATGTCACAGCAACTCAAGCAGGGCAGGAGGAAGAAATGGTGATTTCCTGTTTCTGGTTCCTTTTTCCCTTTAGGAGAACAGCCATTACACAGATGTGGAGGATGCCAGACTACAGTAACCAGGTACAGCTCACGTACTGCTTTCTTGGAGGCTGGATTATGAGCAAAAGCTTTCACCTCATACATATTTTTTTTGCTGCTTCAGAAGATGCTCTTTTACACTGATCCTCTGTGCTTTCCTAGCATTTGAGCCTGGCTGCTCATCTGGGCCCTCGATTAGCCCCTCTCTCCATTTCCTAAATCACTGCTTCTCTGAAGTGCAGGGAAAATGATGCACCTTTTTTTCTCTCTCCTCTCTCCTTGCAGCCCATTGAGAACAGCAGTGAGCTACAGTGTATGGAAAGCACGAGGCTGAACCCTGTCCTGGCACGTTGAGCAAGATAAGCTAAACTGAAGGGCTGTGACATCTCTACTTGGCATTCAAAAGGAGAAATATGGCCCAACATTTTCCACCCATCTGTAAAGCAAAGACAAAGACAAGTAATCATCCCAGCGGCTCCCCACTACCCCATCCAATGGATTCAGAGCTCTGTTGCCAGCACAGGCAGCACCCAAACCCTGCACAGTCCATAACCTTCACTGACTGGAGATGGGAGAGCAGTTGCGTTGCCAATTGAATCAGAGATGCTATAGAGCATTTTGTAGGAAAGGAGAGTCAACTAATTATAACCCAATAAAGAGTTTTTTCCCATGCTAGGGGAGGGCCAGAGCGTTTGCTAACTGGAGGAAAAGTCTGGACAATTTGTGGTCTTACACAAAAGATTATGCCAAGTAAGAGGGTGTGGGGTGCGCTCCCTTCCCAGAACAGTCACCTCGATTCATGTCTCTCGTCCCATGAGCTATCGCGGGTACATGGTCACTTCCAGGTGGAAAGGAGTCTGTGCTGGTTTATTGCTACGCTCTTTGCAACTGCTGGAAGAGAGGGGATGGGAAAAGGACACTGCCTGCAGGAAAGCAAGTGAACCCAAGCAGGAGAAACAAAGCACGTGTCATCTGCAGTTGTTTGCTCTCCTCGCGCTCTATTGGGAAACCACTACGTAAAGGCTAAGCAAGCCTTTGCAGAGGGAGAGGGTGCAGGCATGTGTGAACCGGGTGGAGGAGACCCCTTTCTTGGACCAGCAGCTCCTGAAAGGGAGGCGATCCCCCACTCCCTCTCCAGCACAGTGCCAGATAAATCAGGCCCTTCCCCCAGTTGTTCACATCTCCTCTCGCTCCAGCCTCACTGGTTCTTCACGCTCACCTGGGGCTCCAGGAGAGGGGTGAGGCAGCTCCTACTCCTAACTGCGAAGGTTGTGCTCCAGCATCGGTTTGTGGATCTGAGCAATGTGACGACTTGCCTGAGCATAACAAGACTGGTAACCACGAATGCTCTGAGCACGATGCATGTGGGCATTCAAGCACCTGCCCTTCATCCCCAAATTCAAACTGCTTTTGACCTATTCTAAGCCCTGAAATCAGAGGGTTGCAGCAGCCAGCATGTGGCTTGTCTTGGGGACCCTTTTATACCCCAACATCCATCTCTGCCTTTCCCTTCTTGTTCTTTCGTCTTTCATGGGTTTACCCAATTTTTCTGAGTTCAGAGGATGATGGGACTGAGACTCATGCAGCACTTTATTCACATCAGATGTGTCCTGCCCATCTCCCTTCCGGCCCCCACCTCCCCTCCAGAACACACACACACACACATCGGTGCTTTGAATCCAGAATGCTGTCCACACCTTCTCCTCCATCAAACTCTCCCACAAACAGAGCAGATGGCTCCCCTCCCTGAGTCTGTAGAGGGCTGTGAAAGGGGACTTCTGCTTTCTACTACAGTGCTCAAAGCCTCAGACCTCTTCTACAGCACCTCTCTTTGAAGGGCGGAGAGTAAAACAGGTCATGGGGGGAAATGCTTCCCTGCCCACAGGGCCAACCAGGAGCAAGCGTGGCTCTTGAAGCACAATGTTGTATTTGCATTTCTTAATTTAAAATAATTCATGAGGGATTAAAGGGATAACCGTGCTTTCCCCTACCTTTTTCCGGTTCCTGTACAATTTATCCATTGTGTTGTACTGAGCCGTTGTAGAGCTGTTTTCTAGGCTTTGAGAGATGAGCTGCAGTTTTTGCTATGAACTGACTGTGATGCTGATGTTTGGGAGAAAGGTGACCTTGTACATACAATCCTGTATAATAAAAGAAAGAAATCTAATTTGCTTTTGCTGTCTTCTCTCTCAGAAACATACACAAACACCCCCACGCACACTGTTTCCTGTATTTGAGACAATCTCTGTTCCCTGTCCCAGTTTCAGCTCTGCCAGCAGAATTTACTTTCCCTATATGGGGTCTATTCCATTAGGCTGAACAAAACTTCTGAATCCACATGGGCTTTGAAACTTTCCTTCTATAGACCTGCAGACTCATGTGGTGCAGGAGAGCAGGGGACATATCCAGGTCTTTAATCTCATGGACTGTTTCCACTAGTCCAGATCATAATAGACTGAAAAAATATGGATGCTGTTCCAGCTTGCATAAGCCAATGGGGGAAATAAATGCCTCCAGGCCGTGTCCCCAATACCTTCTTCAGCAGAGCAAAACACACTACCGCATAGTGAGCTGTGTACTGTTCACTGCTCACAGAGTAAGCAGCCAAATCCAAGCATATTCGGCACCTCTGCTGTGTCTGGAGGACCCACAGTGGCCACACTCGGGCAAATCCAGCCCCTACCTCACTTCTGCATCTTTTTTTGAAGCTCCTGGTTCCATAAACCTTGCTCGATCCATCATCCAGCACTGAAGGGTGAAACACTGGCTATTGCAGCTGTTCCAGTTCACGTTGAGCCTGGGGATGCCTGAACATCGGGACTAGGGGTCCTGCTATTACTCAGTGGCTCACTTCAGGCTGAGGGAAGTAGCATGTTTAGACTAATTGCTGCACATAGAAATGGGGAGAAAGAGGGAAGGAGAGGGGTAGGGAGGGGAAAAGTCAAAGCATTTGGCTCTCAACTACCGAGGAGATCTAAATCATCCCCAACTCAGGTGTGCTCTGCCGTGGAGCTGGGCTCTGTCAGAGGCCTGGGCTCGGAGGCCTGCTGCGGAGGAGCAGGGAGCTGCTCCTCTGCCCCATCCCACCCCAAGTGGATGAGTTCACAACGCCAAATGCTCAGCCTGACGCTGTGCTGGGGCTGGGTTGCTTCAGAGCGCTGCAGCTGAGCAGTTTTAAGACTATAAGGACATGGTTGAGGTCTACTGGCACAAAGCTAGTTTGATTTTGGTAAGGGGGAAGAGGAGAGGCAAGGGGTTTGGGGAGCTCCTGTGCAGTCCCCTGTGTGGTAATTGTCTTTGCTGTTAGCTGTAGACTGTAGGCACAATGAAACAAGTCTGGGTTATTTTGGTTTTCACGCTAATTGAGTTCTGCATGTGACCATCCGGAAAGCCTTCCCGTCAGGAGCAGAGCCAGGGCCGGGGCCGGCATGGGCACGAGGCATGGCAGGCAGAGGTCTGCAGACAGCTGATGAGAGCCCGTGAGCAAAAGTAGCTGGGGCGGTAGAGGTCTGAATACGTCCCAATATGTACAAGTCATACACACACATACGGTGCAGAAAAAGCCAACAGTGTTTTACAAGCGTGCACCTGATGCCAGCCTGCTTTTCCTCCCCTCGGTCTCCCATCCCATCCTCCCTACTGCTTTGGAGCTCACCACACATGAGCACCCGCATCAGACATGGTGTAGGGTGCAGCATGCTCCAAGAGCAATGCAGCATTGTAACCACAGCCCAAAACACACGGCACCATACTATCGCCCCCGAGGCATCTTAAATATCCATGAGGCAAAAAGATCCATCAGATCTCATTAGCTCCTGAGTAAATGTAAAAGGGTCTCACCCTGAACGCAGCGGCAATCGCCTTGTGAACATCTTTTCCATGATTCAGAGTCTCTCCCTCTCAGTCATCCCTGCCTGGCTGCTAAATGCCAAGGTGAAGGTTGGGCTGGTCCATTCTCCCCAGTATTTCCCCTGGATAACAGTTAATTCAATGTCTGGACATGCTGAAGAAAAACCACCGCCATAAATCGAGCAACTCAAACTGAACATATGTCCGGTTTCCATCTCATGGACTGGAAAAAAATGCTTTTGGTTAAGCCTTTCCCCACCACCACGAGATCTCATTACAAAGTTCCCTGGACCTGACTCAGTTTCTCACACTTGCTGCCCTGCCTGTTGCAGTCGCAAGCTGTGTTCAGCGGTGACAACAACATTGTCCTTACTGGAAACAAAACCAAAGGTCCCGATTCCCCACTGCCTTGCCTACACCTCCGCGAAGGAAATGTGAAACCTGTGAGGTTGCTGAGACATGTTAGGCTTAAATGAGCTGCTCTGGGAGGGAATAGCTGACGTGCACGAATTTTTGGTTCTCTGCTTTGTTATACGTTGGCCTTAGTAAAGCTTAGAGCAACATAGCGGAGTAATTCCAGCCCTGCTGGCCAAGCTGGCAGCCCTGCCTGTAGTCCATGACTTGCGCGAGCAGCAAAACTTAGGAAACCGCTCCTGTCCTCGCTCTGTGCACAGGCAAGTGGATCCCCCCACACTCCAGGTAGCAACAAGCCCAAAGCCTCCTGACAGCCCTAATTAAACCGGGCATTAGCTATCAAGAGAAGGTCTTGAAGGTGACCGCACTTCTGTGGAAGAGAGCGCAAGGCCAGCTAGCTTCCCCAGGGGCTTGCTGAACAAGCCCAGAAGAACTGGAGGCAGGATTTTCACTAAAGAGCTCCCAAAATGCTTCAGATGGGGTTTTCCAGGCTCCCTAGGAAGCAGCTTCCCGTCTGCATGGAGGCAGCTGTAAACCCCCCACGGAGCCTTCAGTACCAGCTCTCACGTGCAGCGCTCGGACCTGCTGCAATTGCAGACCCTCTGGGAACCCTCGGGGGCGTGGGGGTCCCAGCAAGCCCCCAGAATTCACCTTCCCTTTTATTTCGGTAAGGAAAAGGAAAAAACACATGACAAATCTTCCTTTTATGAGCTTCCAGACACAGAAAGGTAACCTGCTGGGCCTACATGCCCGCGGTCTTGTGTCCTGCAGTGAACGTGCACAGCAACTGTGCACGGCTGTGGGGACGTTTGGCTGCCACGCAGTGCTGGAGGCCGTGGCAGGGTTCATGGCTGGCGCGAAGACGTCCATGCTGCAGGGTCCCGCGGTGCTCATGCCGCCTGGCCTGAAGCTGCGCCGCGATCAGCCCCATGGCAGCATCGGGTTTGTGCAGCGCAGTGTGGAACCGTCACGCTTCCCCCCAGGCCCAGCTTTAACCAAGTGGGACGCCTACGGATATGATAGAGGTGCCAGCTAAGAAAATCCTGGCTGAAGAGGCTTGAAGGTCTGTGCAGCCTTGCAGACAGGCAAGGAATCTACGCTCCTGCTCCGTCACCTCGTAGGATCCTGCACACCCCGCGTGGAGGGGTGCTGCGGAGCTAGACAGTAGCTCACATCCTCACACCTTGCACATCCTAACGCCTCTGCTTTTTAAACGCTATTTCTTGCACCTGGATTCTCTAACTTCCCCTGCAGTTTGACTCAGGAGATGCAACAAAAGCTCCCCCTAACTTCAATAAATCTTATTAATAGCCATCATGGATTTAAATGCCATGCAGCACTTAGGAAATACTTAGGTTATGGCAGCTTTAACAGGATCTGTTCTTTGGGGAATTTATAAAAGCAACTTGCTGCCCTGATGAGGGTAGTTGCATCCCTCCTGCATTGTCTTCCTGTCTTCCATTATCTGCAACAGATGTTAAGTACATATTTTATTCCCCTTTTAAAACGTTTGTGCAAATGTTTGGAGCTGGGGTCAAGAGCTGCAGCAGCTCCCAGTTTGGGACATCCATGCACCTTCAGAAAAACCATCCCAAACTACAGCTCAGCTGCAATGTGACCCCCTCCCCATGGTGGCTTAGAGCACGGTGGGGCAGGAGTTTTGGGGGAGAAAATACATGCCTCCGAGGGGCAGGTATTCACCCCAAGGTGAAGCTCAAAGCGGGATGTACGTGTGCAGCTCGTTCCCCTGCACCAAAGGGAATTTCACCTACCTGAGCCAAATTAGGGCTTAGAGAAACTCGCGGGAAATCATACCGAGGTAAGGGCAAGCCTCAACAGCATTGCGATGCCCATGAACTAATTAATTTGCAGGAGCTGGTTGCCATGCAGGGGGCAAATTTGTGGGTGCAGAGGCACCCCAAGGCCCGCTGTGTATTGCCTCCACCACAGCACTGCTGGGTACCCGGCCCGGCACAGAGTGAGCGCCCTGCAAAAGGACACCTACAGGCATCCAGCCACAGTGGCTCCTGGAGCAGGCAGGGGACGTCTGCCAGCATCTCCTGACACTTCCTTCCCAGGAAGGAGCAAGCCCATCTGCCAGCGGCCCCCTCTCTCCCGTTCCTGGGACATGGGACGTTGAGGTGTTCCTCACCTGCGGGCTGCATACGCTGCCTCCAGGCTCCTCATCTTCAGCAAAACGGAAGCAGATCAGTGGCCTCATGCTCACGGTCACATTCGGTTCAGTTAGCATCTGAAACAAGCTTTGCTCTAGCAAAGCAGAGTCTTGGTTAGCAACTTGAAATAGATACCAAAGGGCAAAAATAAGGAAATGTAGAAACACCTACCAGCGTTCAGGGTTTCTACAGGCCCTTGCGGCTAGAAAAGCCCAGGGGCCAGTTCAGTGATGATTCGGCTCCAGCACCAACTTCAGCCCTCATTTAACCAAGCTGGTGTTAGCTCATTGCCCAAACTACAAGGCTATATATCTTTCCACCCTCTTTATTTAAATCCCGTCTCTCTAATGGCTTTATTGTTCACGTATTGTGTATTGGTTCAAAATTTGTTACTTTTCAGTGTCGCCTCTTGCAACAAGGAAACCGAGGCAGAGCCTGGAGCCCAGGTCGTCCCTCTCTCCCAGGCAGCTCCAGCCCCGAGCTCGGACCCGCGCAGTTGCCTGAGCAGGCACAGACAGGGGCAGTGCCGCGTCCCCAGAGACAAAAAGCAGTGCCTTCAAAATGTAATCAAAGCTGCCTGTTAATACTGTATCACAGGGACACACACTCTAGACCGCTGTTAACACAGAAGAAATTAGGAGCTTGTTTGCATATCATCATTTTATATAATATTTCAATGAATGCATTGGGATCTTTATGCTCAGACTGGGCAGGAAGCAA